TACTCTTGGAAGTCAAGCTTCCTCTGTGCAAGGTGCCGTGTGACCCGTCACACTTCGTCTAGAGTATAAAAAAATGCTTCATTCACTTCTCAAATCCGGAGAGAAAAACATTTCTGACCTGTTCCTCAAAGTACTCGACTCTCAATACCAGCAGCCTGATGGTCGGTTCCATCAACCCTCCAATTAGCGCCCGTTTGAGGTGTTCCTCGAGATGTCTTGCCATTGTATACTTATAGCTGGTGAGTGCTTCCAGGCGAATGACTACCGCATTTGGTCCTTGGGTCGTCAAATTTCCGACCTTCATCAACTATTACACAAGCTTTCTAAGTATATATAATCATACCGGGGACAGATAGTCTAACATCTTATGTCCCATCTCCACCGATTACAGCCCTTTCAAAATAAGTCGTAGGATTGACTACATGAGCGACCAGCTGCAACAGAGTTGTTGTGTACTCTGCAGAGCGTTCGTACCGAACAGAGGTAAAAATCAAGCGCTCCACTGAGATGCGGGGTCGAGGGCCTTTGGCGTAACTAAGTAAATACTTTGTTGTACTTCTATTTCAAGATGGACATAAATTTTGGATTAATGCCTTGAGATTCATTCCAATACATACGCTCTACCATTTCTTGCATTAAAATTGGCTTGACTAGTCGACGTTTAATATACTATGACGAGGTCATAGATACCAATACTTCAAAACTATGAGTATCTTACAAACGTGCTATGTGAATTTTGTACAATCATACAATACTGTAGCTTGCATAAATGAACTATCAACAGAATAGTACAATACTCAACCCGTTACACTAGGGCTGTTTTACTGCTGAATGAAGCGTAAAAATTTAATCTTTTTGCATTTACCAGCGCAAACTCGGCAGCCGCAAATAATTTTAAGCCTGACCAATATTTATAGTTACATTTAGCACAAACTAATACTCTATAAATCTATTTACAGCGTCCAATTATAAACCTGCATGTACTTGGACACGTACTCCACAGAAAAGTCCTCGCGTCCTCATCACGCACAAAAGTTTGATGTGTAAGTGAAGCTTGATGATTGGTACTGGGGATGAGGTCACGGAAAAAGAGATCAAAGGGACATGTGGACTGGCTATGGTTAAATAAACTAAGCATCAATCTAAATTTATATTTACATCACTCTAGAATCTAGATCAAAACCACTTTCACTTTCAAATGTCGCCTCGGTGGCGCCAGGTGAACACATCCTCTACGTGTTTGGACTCGTAAAACAAAAGGAAATCTTTGCGATGTGTACGGAAATTTTGGCGTACTTTACACATAGAAGAATGGGACAGCCCATTCATTTCTATTGTCATCACGTGTTTTCTTTGAAACGTCTTTGATCTTACCATGAATAATTCGATGAAAAGCATGAATTGATAAAGCCAAGTACTGTTTCGTTGTCCGACAACGTCAATTCTTGATATCAATGTGAAGCTATTGTCACCTTTTGCAACGCAGTATCAAGTTCCAATGCTGGTTGGTCTCGCCAAGTGCTATAATAGCGGGCTGTTTAGAATTGGTGCGAGAGACCTTGAAGGAGATCAAGTGAAATCCAGGACATAAGATTGTAGGCGTCATGTCAAGGAATTAACCGGCCAGTGTGGCTGTAGCTTTAAATTGATGTTTACTAAACTAAAGAATTAAAGCATGTATACATATACATGACACAAAGATGTTTAGAAGGCAAACATAATGTTAAAAGCAAATAGTGTCTGATGTCCTTGGAGAAATTAGCCATTGCTAATATTAACTGGTGAGGAGCCAGTTCAAGATTATAGAAAATACGAATATGGGAAGCTAAGACAGTAAGGATGGTGACTACCGTATGCCAGTCATTATGGGTGCTAGAGAGCATTTCATGATTACGGAAACATGCGTTGAGATCAAATCACATAAAAAGTAAGAAGTAAAGGTAAAGCGCTTTGCTGTTTACGTCCTGACTTATACATACCATACACAATTTTTGTTCTGATCTGCCCGCTGAGCTTATATGTAGTGCATTTACTTGTGCATAATATTTATGGAGTGAAATGCTTTATTATTGAGTATCATGTGACTTCAATTCGCCACAAACAGGTAAGTATCGTGGCGAATCCTCGCCTACACTTACTTCCACATTTGAAATTTTCAACCTGCTCTTTTTTGCTCATTTATCTATAACGCGTTAGTAAGGGTGGTGTTTGCGTCGCTGTGGCTGTTTATGAACAAATTGACCTAATTTTCGTAATTTATTCTCCGCCTTTTTTATCAGAGTCCTACGAGCATTTTTAGTTCGTGCGCAGATGATTAAAGTCTAGGAACGTTGCATGGGAAGAAAGTTTTTCAAGTGGCTTTGATGGCAAATAGACGACTTATAATGCACCAGGTAGATTGTAGCAGGCAGTACAAAAGCTTGAAACTTATTCTCGAGAGAGTCTACAGTTGAGAATTATAATATGGACGTTCAAGACTTTGATGCTTGTTTCGTGGCAGTCGCTTTTGTTCTCTCGAAGGTTTTTCTGATTTTTTATTGCGGGAGGTTAAGGTGTTGGACAATGTCCACTCGTAGCTTCTTATATTAACTTTGGATTTTTCTCCGTCTATTCTGTTTTTTAGAATACGTACATGTATCTGCTAGGCCATACGTAATGCAGACTAAACACTTAAACTGCTTCATTGTATACGTACGTAAACTAACACTTGTACGTTAAAAATCATAATCAGTACCGTCTGGAACCCAATCTTCAATCGTCGAGGCCATAATGTCTACGACGTCTCGAAACAAATCTTTGAGGCACTTCTGTTGGTGCTGCCAAATGTTTCTTCTGCAGAATATCGGCATGAGGCTGCGTTTCATGTTACCATTCTGCAAAACGCTTTTGACTACAAACCTCCTCCTCATCCTTAAAAACATGACCTGTATTACTCTCTCCATTGCTGTCGTTGCGTCTTCGGCGGTTCTTGTGAGCGCTCGTCCAACTTATGTCACTCGCGTGCCTAACGGTGGAAACGTAGTCGGCGTTCAAGCTTTGGGCCACATCAATGTCCAAGGTGGTGGTCCCAGGAATTCATTCGGTAGTGATTTTGAGGACGCCGATTTGCAGTGGACAAGTGAACTTTGTGCGAAAGACTCGGATGGTGATGGACAGTCCAATGGCCATGAATTAGGCGACCCATGCTGCGAATTTTCATCGGAAAACAATACCGTGCGCTGGTCCACTGGTGTGTCGCACCCAGGCGACGCGACTTCTATGTCGAATTCATCGCTGTGGATTAACATTATCTGTCCTAACAGTACGACCCCGGGAAACAGCAGCACCACAGATATTCCAGACCCAACGCAAACGAATTCTACTGCTGATGACTCGACTAATTCTACCACTCCTACTAGCGATCCAACTCCATCGACCACAAGTGCAGCTTCTGGGATAACCCCAGCCATCTATACTGCCGTCGGAGTTGCCGCTACCTTAATTGCTTACTACCTCTAGAAATCGACCGAGACTGCATTTTCCCTTTAATCTAGTTTACTTAAGTTGGTGGATAGATGAGATATTGACGAGGAGTATAATTTTAGATTATACTGTCTTAATAAAATCTTCAACATTTCCAGCTGAACAATACTATACATATTCAAGCTCCAATGTATGGCTCTACCTGAAGTACAGCTCCGAAGGTTGAGTGTGGCGGCTCTTGAATGCATTGAAGGTTATCAGGCCCTGTGTGATTACAAGGTCGGAGTTTTGTGCGAAATATTACTGGTTGAGCTAGGCTTGTGTCGCACGTCTTGAGGACCCAAATTTAAATTGTACAGGGGTGGTGACGTATGCTACCTTAGCTCGCGAGAAAGATTATATCATCCGTGAGCATCGGAGTGATTACGCTATAATATGTCACACCCGGGGGGTTCAATCATTGGGTGTCGATTGGGATCCAAAGAAACTTTTACATTTGTTATGAAATAAACAATATCTATATATTGAATCATAAGTCCATAAGCAGAGCCCAAACTTTCAAATTGAGGGCTAAATGTGCAATTTTTGCAGCTATAAAATTGTGTGCATATGAAGCCGTTGCCAATTACATAATACAAAGTGATATTGCTTCGCAAAGCCGAAAACTTTTCTTCTCAGCCTCAAGCTCGATGGTTGCCTTGCCTAGCACTTATATCGATCAGTCTTAATTACTGAGCAGCGGTATTGATTTATTTTCTTAACATGTGGTCCATGGTCACAAGGAGTAATATTCACATTACGAAGTTTCAAAACATTCTGCGATTTAAGTGCTTGACGTGTTCAAAACGTCGAACTATAGCAGATACCAGAATACTGTCGAACAGATCAAAACCTGGCAAAAAAGGTGTCTAGTACATGTCGATTTTGTACTCATAAAAAACGTTGTCTCAATTTCATTTTGTTAAGTAAAATTGTTTCAGCATCTGAGCACACAAAGCAAAGCACGCGTCAGCACAATCAAAATTGTTTATAGCAATCTACTCACCTCTTCCTCAAGTGGGTGCACGTCTCCTGCAATAGCAAGGCAGTGCAGAGGCGCCCCGAATTCTGCAGTCAGCAGCTCCTCCATGGTTCCAGCAATAATCGTCTGGTCTTTCTGGCCAAGACGTGCCATTCCGACGCAAAGTGTATCCTTGGTGTAAGCTCTTTCTTGACGCTTTCCTTCGATCTCAATTAGCTGTTCAATAGCCTGATTTATCGTCATGAAATGCGGTGGCAGAAAGACCTTACGGCCACGGCACATGGCTTCAAAGTCAGGCTCCTTCACCTTGATATCTAGCAAACAGAGCGTGTGCATGCCACCGCGACGATTGTACTGAATCTTTTCATAAAAACTATCTGGACGCCATTCATCCCGGAAAAAAGGGATTGATACGGTCTGGCCAAATGAATAAAGCTGTAGTCCGCAAGCACTCGCTGCACCCATTACCGATGCGTTATGAATCACTTCCACCGTGATGTCCAACTCTCTTGCGCGCAAAATCAGATCGGAATGTGTAGTAGCACAAAGCGGGTCGCCTACCACCAGAAATGCCACATCATCAGTCTTGGCATCAGCAAAGATTTGGTCTGCGCCGGTCTCGACACAGTCGCGGTCGGCCAGGATTACCTCGCGGCCGTAAAATTCGCTTAGCTTGTCCACCTGTACACCCAGTACTGAGGTGTAGTTTTCTAAAAAGACTGTTTTCGACTTTTTAATGGCATTCAGTCCGCGCAACGTTACATCCTGTTCGTCGCCAAGACCGAGGCCAACCACGTATAATACCATGATGCCAATCAAAGAAATTTAGGGTTAAAGTACTAAACTTGTCTTTCTTTTTATTTTAGTAGTATTTGGATATATTTATCAACCCTGCGTTATTACGATTGTAGTGTGGTGCGGTGAAGCAAGCTAGCGTTGTGGACATGACATAAATATCACGCTATACATCTAGTTCCACCACAGAGAAAGCAAGATGAATTTGAAAAGGAATTATTATGCTCATTGCATTGCTTAAAGACTGAATAATGTTTACAGGGACAAAGGTAGTATTTAGCACTAGAAAATCGATGATTTAGCCATAAAGTGATCCGTTTATTTGAAATTGACATACCTCTAATGTAACGGGGTTACACGTACCCTGGTAACAGGTGTGTGTGTCACACGAGATGGGCATGGTGTGACTGCACCCGAATGGTTGTGCATGTATATGGATTTTACTATATATCTCTAGGGAGATCTATACACATAAAATCAGGCGGCTTTGCCGCAGAGAAAAATAAATGAATTCAGTTTTGGACTTAAAACGGAAAAGTTAATTAGCCTTGGGTTAAGGCTATAATTACTCTTGGAGAAGCGGATTGCGATCCGCTAAACTCGTACTTGTTCTGAGTATCGAACAAGAGGTCGGTACCTAAGTTACGCTTTCTCAAAGCGTAACGCTACGGCAGCCTTGCTGAACTTAGTAGCACTTGTAGTCAATCTAAACCTGAGTCATTTAGACTGATCCTCTGTGAGGATGGAACAATTTTCCTCTTTGCCCCAGGGCATGCAAGACGGGCTTAAGAAGCTGATGTCCTTGCTTGGCGCTGAGGGCGTGCAAAACCTTGTAGCACAAGTGTGCCCCGAGGCAATCGGTGCGCGTCTAGAGGCGTTTTCAAATGACGAAACGCGCTGCTAGAGCACCTGCAGCAGAAGATGTCTGCTTCATTTGCGTATATGATGCCACCGTCAGGGACGGATGATTTTCCCTAAACCGCTCATGGTGAGCGTTAAGGCGTTTGAGGGGAAAGATGGAGAGAATCTTCTGCTCTGGGTGAGAGAGGTCGAAATGGTCATCGCATCCGCCTTGCTCCAGACCGAGCAACAGCGCGTGGCGCTAGCCATCTTAAAGCTCGGTGGTCGAGCGCGAAAATGGACACTGACGTGCGGCACTTCGGTCGAAGCTGCGTTTCCCTCCTGGGCGGAGCTGAAATTGCAGCTCTCACGAATGTTCTAGCCGCCCAATCAGGCATATCGCGTACAATCGCGTTTCCTTGCCGCCCGACAGGGCAACAAGGAATTGGTGGATTTTGTCCAAGAGATGTGCACTCTAATTGCCGGGATGGCAGCAGATTCCCTTTCGGAGGCGGTCACAGTGACCGTCTTTGTGGAAGGCCTTCGCACTGGTGTGGCCAGAATGGAAGTCTTCCGTGTGCATTCGTCTTCGTTTGAAGAGGCGGTGAATGTGGCATTGAATACCGAATTTAATTTCATGTTGGCACGACTTGGTTGGAATGTACACTCCAACAGCTCGTCGAATGGGCTTATGCCCATGGATCTTAGCTATGCTGAGGACAAAGGAGCGGAGCTCCGAGCTGCCGGGCAGCACACAAACACACGACGGTGTTTTGTTTGTGGAGGCACCCGTCATCTCCGGAACGTCTGCCTCCTGCGCAAGGCGCGTCAAGGTTCTTCAAACCATCGCCCCAAATCCTACCAGTCTGATTCGTCGCGGGGAAACGACACCACTCAGTAGGCGCAGGGCGGCCTACTGGGGAAAACTGAGTTTTGTTGAGCCTCAGAGAGGCATAGGTCAACAGGGCCCAGCCCTGAAGAGCTTCGTGCTCTTAAACACGCAACGTGTATGCAAGCTGGGCTTGCTGGTCGTAGAGGTGACCGTAAAGGGCTTCGAGAAGCCATGGCAGATCCTCATCGATTCTGAGGCGTCGTGCAATTATGCTCGACCCTCCACGATAGAGGGAAGTCAGCTGTATGCTGAGGCACTAAAAGCTCGGTTGGGTGACATTGTCACTGCTCGCTTAGCGACGAGGATGCGTGTCATGGTCCCGAAGGTCTCTGTGGACCTAAGTGTCAATTTTCTTGACTTTGATAGCGTTGAGCGCTGTCTAGTCTTAGACTAGGATGCAAGGTATGACCTCATCCTGGGAATGGCATGGCTGGAACACCATGAGCCATGAATTGATTGGAGGTCAACGGCCTTGGGAGCTACGCGCACGTCTCCTGGTGGAGCTTTGACAAGTCATGAACCCACCTCTGCTAGGAGACAAAAGCGCTATTGGCGATAGCACTGGAACGAGACGGGCAACGTGCTGGACATTGGAATGTCCAAGTTGGTTGACACCAACGGTGTATCGAACAGGAGTTTCGAGCGTGGCTCGCGGGCTGATCGTGGAGTGGCACGGGGTCCACTGGACGAAGACTGTGGGGTTAGCAGCTCTTCGTCGGATATTGTAAATAACATTGGAGCTCTAAAGGAGCGAACAGTGAGGGTGACACCGGACGACGCGGAATAATTGATCACCCTGGTCTCACCGAGACATAGAACCTCTGTACAGAAGCGACGGTGACGCCGTATGCTGGCCTGCAAGACGCCGGGCGTCGACCCTGATCCAGGGTGTGTCTACCGTAGACGATGGTGCCCAGTTATACACCCTCGTCATCGGTATGACGGGTGAAGAATATGGCGAAGTCCGCCTCGAGGCTATGTCTGCAGTAGATGCTCTTCTTGGGCTGGACGAGATGTCCCTTGAAGAGCTCGGCAGTGCCTTGAAGGCAGACGATTTGGTCGAAGTGGTCATTGTACTACCGGACGAGGAGATAGACTCGTCATCGCTTTTGGATGAAGCTGTCTCGGAAGCCACCAAGAGAGTGCTGAACGCACGGAGTGGATCGTCGATTCTACGGAATCCCTTGGATCCGTACTATCCTTTGGTAAAGGAATTTTATGACGTCGTCCCTAAAGACCCGCCTTCGGTTTTACCTCCGGACTGATGTGTGCGTCATGAGATTGACCTGGTTTCGGGAGCCAATTGCTGCGTAACATGCAAATGGTCCCTGCCCGAGGAGCAGTGCAACGTCATTGACGCCTTTTTCCGTGCAAAACACGACGCAGGGATGGTGCGTGAGAGCAAGTCTCCCTATTCGACACCCACGTTTTGTGTCCGGAAGCCGAAAGGCAAGTGGCGTATCATTCATGCTTACAATAAGCTCAAACGCTGCCAGCAA